AAGACTAGACTGGAACCTAGACTTGCTAGACTCAATAGGATTTGGTTCAAACCTTGAACTAAGGTAAGCCTAGTCTAGCTCTAGAGGCAACTCTAAGCTTAGACCTATGTTAGAGCCTAGACTAAGATCTTGACTAGATGGGTACGAGTCTTGACACGGACCAAGAGTGGGTCTAGGTTCGGACCCGGGTATGACCCTGATTCGGACCTGGACTTAGCTGGGTGTAAGCCTAGGCTTGGAACAAGAGGGTTGTTAAGATCGGACCGAGAATAGACCTGGACTAGACCAAGGTTGGGTTAGGTGCGAGCGCTGGCTTGGACCAAAAGGGGGCCTAGGTTCGGACCTGGGAGTGAACCTGGTTCGGACCTGGGTTAGACTGGGTACAAGCCTGGACTTGGACCCAGACGGTTCAGCTCGAACCAACAGCGGGTCCGAACTGAGATCTAAGAGTAACCAACAATAATAAACAAGCACAACACACGAAAACTTTTGACCACGTATTATACGTAGGCTGGGCTTGAGAGTAGGTTCCTAACTATTGAAATACGGCTAGGCTGATATAGGTCCCTGCATAGATCCTGGCTTCCTGTTATAGGATGTTCACCAGGTCCTACTATACGTGGAGTTGCTTTGAGGTAGAGGATTACGGAAGAGCGCTCACAGTTAGAGTTACACGAATCCCAACTGCCTTGACTCTCAAATCTAGGTTCCCCTCACACCGTTAACGTGGATTTTGGGGGTTTTCGAAATATTTGTTTGCTAGTTTCCGGGGCACTTCCGGTCCGGTGTGTGCTGGAGCGTGTAAAGAAGCATGCAATTAAAATAAAGTCAAGCACACAATGCACACAAAGAAAGAAAGGAAATAAGTGAGCGCTCGGCACTGATTGTGCCTAGCGATGCGCGCTTCGAGGAAAAACTCACTCGAAGCACAATATAGATGGAGGGGTAAGCAACCCTAAGAAGGTGAAGTCAGAACAATGAGACCAGGCACAGTCCGTGCTAAGTCGAGCGTGACTCGAGTCGAG